GTGAGCTCGGTGTGACAGCCAGCTCGGTGTGACTGTGAGCTGGGTGTGATAGCCAGCTCGGTGTGACAGCCAGTTCAGTGTGACAGCCAGCTCTGTGTGACAGCCAGCTCGGTGTGACTGTGAGCTGGGTGTGACAGTGAGCTCGGTGTGACTGTGAGCTCGGTGTGACAGCCAGTTCAGTGTGACAGCCAGCTCGGTGTGACAGCCAGCTCAGTGTGACTGTGAGCTCGGTGTGACTGTGAGCTCGGTGTGACAGCCAGCTCGGTGTGACTGTGAGCTGGGTGTGACAGCCAGCTCGGTGTGACAGCCAGTTCAGTGTGACAGCCAGCTCAGTGTGACTGTGAGCTCGGTGTGACAGCCTCTGGGTGTGTCTGCAGCCTGTAGCTCCCTCAGGCTGAGCCTCTCCGTGCCTGGGAGCTGCAGGCAGGGCTGGCATCCAGGCGAGCACATGGGGAGGGGGTCACACCGTGTCCCTGCTGTCCCTGGGGCTCAGGGCTGCCTGCTGTGTGTCCCCAGTGCAGCCAGCAGGGCTCTGACAACTGCACCTACCGGAACTTCAGCAGCGCGGCGCAGGCGGTCACCGAGTGGTACATCCTGCAGTCCACCTCCATCCTCTCCAGGGTCCCGCTGCACGAGAAGATCAGGATGGGCTACCAGGCAGAGGACATGATCCTGGCCTGTCTCTACGGGGCCGAGCCCTGCAACTACAAGTAGGTGCACACGAGCTCCCTGCTCCTTTTCGTCCCTGCAGGAATGAACAGCATGCAGGTTCCTTTCTCTTTTTAAGGTATATATCAGCTACTAATGAGATTGCTGCTGAGTCTCACCTCTCACAACACTTCCCAGAGGTTTTCTGGATGTAATCCTGAAATGTGTTCTTTTGGAACAGTGCTGGCTGAGTTAGAGTTTTGGATGGGCTGTTTTGCTCGTGACATATCAAGACCAGCAGCACCCAGGGTATGCAGTGGTAACCAGGTGCTGAGTCAGCAGCATGGCCCCCAGTTACAGCCCCCTCCCTTTTGCACAAGGCTCTGAGAAATGCATTTTAGCCAACTTTGTTTGCTATGAATCCCAAGTTCCCATCCTCAGTGCTGAGGAAGGGGAGTATCAGTGCTGGGATCTCCCATGCGGGAAGAATGAAGTCTGAACTCAAATGACTTCAGAAGGCTAATTAATTACTTTATTAAACTATATTGTATCATATATTACACTATATTACAAGAACAAGAACTATCACTAACTACCTATATCACTAACTAACTAACTAGAAAACCCATGACTCTCTCCTGAGAGTCCCGACACACACGTGGATCCAATTAGTCAATGAATCCAAAACACCATCACCAGAATCCAGTCAAGCAATCACCTTGGGTAAACAATCTCCATACCACATTCCACATGGGTACAAACAGGAGCAGTGAATGAGATAAGAATTGTTTTGATTCTTTTTTCTCTGCTTCTCTCAGAGCTTCTCTCAGGAGAAATCCTGAGAAAGCCAAGTGTCTCTCTGTGAATACCACAGGGGAGCACACCGAAGCACCCCAGGCTGTGGGGAGCCCTGTCCTTCTGCAACAAGGGCAACCAAGAGCTGTCATCAAAGCACGAGCTATAATGCCAGCCCAAACCTGTAACCACAGCTCAGACTGAGCAGGTTTTCCTCTCACCTGTGTGACAAATGTTCCTCTCCATCCAGCTGAGCACTGTCCCCAGGGCCATGTCCCAGCAGACGCCTGTACCTTGCCTTGCCTTTTTTCCAAAAACAGATGGATTGAGGTGCTATCAGCTGTAGTCCCTGTGCTGATAGGAACACCTGTGCAGGTATTCAGCAGATGAGGCAATGGGAGGTGAACCCCAGCACAGCTGGGCCCACCTTCTGCTTCATGTCACACCCCTTTATCCTCCTGAGAGTCACAGTTTTCTGTGTATGATTCTTCCAGGAATTTCACCCAAATCTACCACCCAGACCATGGTAACTGCTACATCTTTAACTGGGGCATGGATGAAGAGGCTCTGAACTCTTCCAACCCTGGGGCTGAGTTCGGTAAGGGAGAACTCTGTGGTGGAGGAGGGGACTGGAGGGGCAGACCTGAGGTCTCTGTCTCTTGGAGCCCATTCTGTCACTCAGGACAGTTTTATGATTCCTCTGTCCCTGGAGCACTGCAACAGGGGACAGATGCTATCCAGAAGGGGATGAGCCCCAAAAGGAAAATGTGCCACACAGGAAAAAAGTGACTACAGACACATAGCTGAATGGCATCCTCTAGAGTATTGAAATGTCTGAGGCAGCACCTGACTGCTCCCAGCTATTGCCATTCTGGGCATTCACCACCAGAAGTGTTCCTGCACAGGTCAGGCTGCCACGGCAGCCAGACCCTGGCTCATCCCAAGGAACAGGGAGAAGAAAATAGACTCCCTTCTTTCCCCAAGCCTCCCCTTCCAATACAATTCCTGTTGTGTTTTGCCTGGTGTCCCAGGGCTGAAGCTGATTCTGGACATCAGCCAGCAGGACTACATTCCCTACCTGTCCTCTGCCGCTGGGGCCAGGCTCATGCTGCACCAGCAGAAGAGCTTCCCCTTCCTCAAGGATCAGGGCATCTACGCCATGGCTGGGACAGAAACCTCCATTGGAGTGCTGGTGGTATGTGTGGCATTCCTCGGGAGCAGATTGTCTGAGAATAATGTTATCTGATGGGACCAGAACCAAGTTTGCTTTAAGTCTTGGCTGAACTGGCTCAAACCAAAGGAGACAAGGTACACACCTGTCAGGGGCTGGAGCGCTTTATGGAGGATTTTATGTAACTGTCCTGGCAAAGTGCTTTATTGGGGCCGGAATCCTGGGCTCAGGTCGTGGGTGTCTCTTTCTGCAGCGTGTCAGAGAGCACTTTCCCAGCCCCGAGCAGCCTCCCTGCCTGGATCCTCCCGGGGCAGGGGCTGCAGCCTCCTCAGCTCTGCCACCACTGACTTAATTTTTAGCAAAGCCAGTGAGGAGCCCAGAATTGCAAAGCCTCTGGAAAATGGGCCCAGGGACCTGTGGAGAAGGAGAGCCAGCCTGGTGTTGGGGTTTCTTTCCAGGATGAGCTGGAGCGGATGGGTTATCCCTACAGCGACTGCACCGTGAACGGCTCCGACGTCCCCGTCCAAAACCTCTACAGCCAGTACAACACCTCCTACTCCATACAGGTAAAACAGCCTTTGAAATCAAAGTACACTCTTCAGGAAAAATCCTCAGAGCAGTTAAATCTGCCTATCACTATCATGCAGGGTACTGGGGAATCATAAAATCACAAAATCTTTCAAGCACATCATATCCAAGTGTCAACACAGCACCACCACTGACAAGCCATGTCCTCAGGTGCCACATCACATAGTTTTTGAACACTTCACCACTGCCCTGGGCAGCCTGTTCAAGTGCTTTACAACCCTTTCCACGAAAAGTTTTTCCTAATATCTGATCTAAGCTCCACGGTTCTGTAGGAACAGTCACTGAGGCTCTGGGGAACTTCTGCTGAGACAATGTCCAAGTGAGCCTGTGTTTTGTGTACACAAGTGATATTTACCCCTGACAGGAGATGAATACAAAGGAGAGACTCTCCCTCTGAACACTCCTGCGATCTTTAACTTTTTTCTCTTTGGGGGAATCAAGTAATTTTTCACCCTGAAAATGCAGCTGGTTTGTACAGGAAGGGAAACAGCCCTTTGCTTCTTCATCACTCTGAAAATTGGATGAGAAAGTTGAGTGTCAGTAAACCTTACATCTGTAGAAAATTGGAGAGCCAACAGTAAGCGCAAGTTAATTTGTAACAGGCTGTACTGGAAAGAGAAGCAGCTCTTGAGGGTGCGATGTGATAATAAGGGAAACACCCAAACCATTTGGGGTGATTCACAGATGCACCTGGAGATCAGGCGAGCTTTGGGCTGGCAGTGGTTTTATATTTCTACCTTTATATAATATAATAACAACTGGACCACTTTATCCAGCTTTTAAAGATGCTTGTATAAGGTTTAAGCAAACACTTGGGAGGATTGCATTATTCCCTAGAAGTGCAAATGCTGACGGAGTTCTGTGCCCATGTAACGCCACTTCAGAGCCCTCTCAGCAAAACCAGGCTCTTCCATCACTGCCTGACTGCTCTGCACCCTGTGGACCTTTCCTATCACACAGAAATTCTCTGCTTGTCCTACCCACAGCTGTTAAATTTAATTATCTTCTCACAGACTTTGCTATTGCTTTGTGCTGCCTCACGCAGAATCGCACTCCAATCTCTGGTGATGAACTTCACGCCTCACCAAGCTAATGGCAGCCACAATCCTCCCCAGGAGAGCAGCACCTGCACAAAGATCATTCGTATGGCTGCTCTTTGTGCTGAAGGATTTGGAAGTTCCTGGCCCTTTGTCAGTGTTGTGTAAAGCCTGGAGAGCACAGCCATGTCTGCGGTGGAAGAGAACATTTGTATTCCCTTTTGCAAGTGTGAATATTACTTCTGTGAAGCCCTAAAATAATTGAGAAATGAGAAGTTTCTTGTGTGAGTGGGAGCAGGTGCTGAGCTCCCTCCATCTCCCACAAGGTCTCACCCAGGGCCAGCTCCTGTGAGTGGCTTTAAAAACTCCAGAGCCCAGCAAGGCTGGGAGAGGCTCTGGGCAGGGACAGGCTCTGGCAGCCCCCCTTCCTCTGCACCTCCTTCCCTCTCTGTCTGCAGCCCAAGATCTCCTGCTCAGTGCAAGAGAGGGCATTCCTGGGAGCAGAGGGGCTCTGGGAGCCGCTGCCAACCCCGAGCTCCCGAGGCCCCAGCCCAAGTCTGAGCATCCCTCTTCCCTCCCCTCTTCCTCCCCAGGCCTGCCTGCGCTCCTGCTTCCAAACCCACATGGTGGAGATCTGTGGCTGTGGGCACTACATGTTCCCTTTACCTGAGGGGGTGAATTACTGCAATAATGAGGATAACCCGGGCTGGGGTAAGAGCTGCTGGGGGTTCTGGGGCTCTGCTGCTGTCCCTGCAGCTCCTGCACAGCTGCTCCCTAGGGGACGTGGCCACCTGGGCCAGTGCTGGGACCAGGGGCCAGATCTGGGCTGGGCTGGGGGCTGGGGGCTGGGGGAGCCCTTGGGCACCAAAGAGAGAGAGAACACAGGCTACCACTCCAGGCCTCTGCACCCAAAAATTTTGGGTCCCCGGCAGGGGCAATGGAGGGTCTAGTGCTCCCCTGGGGTAGCACAGCTCTGTGCTGGCAGAGCCAGGGCTGTGCCAAAAGCACCAACCCTGGGCAAGGCGGCTCTATAAAAACTGTCTTCAGAAACTGACAGTTTATTTTTAAGTTATTAGTAAATTGTCTGAATGTTTTGCCCAAGTTTCTCAAGGAAATGGAAGTTGAAAGGGAAGATTGCAAATTTGTGCAGAATGGTCACGCTTAATATTTATTTTGACAAATGAAACTGATATAACTCAGTAACTGGGTCCTTATCTAAACAGATACTTTTATTTTGTTTTCACCAAACAGCATATTGCTATTCCTCTCTGAGATCCAGCATAAAACAGCGTCAGATCTGCATTGACTCCTGCAAAGAAACATGCAAGTGAGTACCTGAGCCTGATCTGGTTGCTGTGGAGGTAGAGGGATCCTTCACTTTAACTCCCATCAGTCCTGACTTTCCTAAAAGGGCAGCGAGCCCTGCAGGGCTGGTTTGCTGTGTGAGAACTGAAGTTCCAGAGACTTCAGAGGAGGGGGAATCTCCATACTAATCTCTCCCTCTTGGCTCCAGTGACACGCAGTACAAAATGACCATCTCCATGGCGGACTGGCCTTCAGAAGCCTCTGAGGTAAGCCTGGCTCCCTGGCTTGTAAGAGACGCTGGTGGCTCCTGTCCCTGGCTGTTGTCAGAGCTGTGTCCAGCTCAAAGCAGCTCTGCTGAAGTCCGGGTATCCACACGCAGACCAGCAGCAGCCCCAGGGCATGAGGAGGAGGAGGGACCCCCTCAGTGCTCCTTCCTCCGGGCTCTGTCCCAGTGCCCTGTCAGCCCAGAGCCCACAGGCAGCAGGGGCTCCCCGCAGGACAGGGGGGAGCAGCCGGTGCCCTGCTGAGGCAGAGCTGCCCTGCATCCACAGCAGCCCCCTCCACCTGCACACGGGGCCGGGGCTGCCTGGCAGCGGGCACGGCACCCGCAGGGCTCCTGCTCTTCGGGAGCACTCGCTGCCTCGACTCTTTCTGAACAGATTTTATTTTCCTAGGACTGGATTTTCCATATTCTGTCTTATGAAAGGGATATGTCAACAAATGTGACTCTGGACAGGTGAGTGAAAGGAACAACCACTTTATCTTCTCTGCTGAGCCTGTTAACATCAGCCTGACACGAGCCTTGGCGCGGGGCCAGCGCACGTGGGTGCGAATGGGCAGGGAGGACGAGGTTTGCAGCCTGTTCACCTGGGACACACCAAAAGCAGATCCAAAAGGCACTTCATGCATGTCCCCGGCTCTCCAGGGCTGCAAACTGGGTCAAATTCAGTCATGCAGTAAAATCAGCATTAAGGACAGTTCCAGTGTCATAACGTTTGTCACTTCATACTGATGTCTTGGTGTCTCTCTGTCCCTCGGTCAGGCTGGAGCAGAGGTGCAGGGCTGACAGCCAGCTCCTCACGGCGGTGGGTTTTGTTCTTTACAGGAATGGGATCATCAAGCTGAACATTTACTTCCAGGAGTACAACTACCGCACCATCTCGGAGTCAGCTGCCACCACGGTGAGAGCCCATCCCAGCCCTCCTGGCAGGGCAGGCACAGAGCCAGCCAGCTGGGATGGGCTCAGTGCCCTGGGGCACAGTCTGTCAGTCCCTCGGGGCTGCTTTTTGGCACACCTGCTGTAATGGAGTGGATGAAGCCACCTCTGCCTGGTGGCTCACAGCCCTCGGTTCCTTCCCCCGCTTCACCTCCCATCCTCATCCCAGCCCTGCAGGAGGGACCCAGAGCACAGGAGGAGCAGGGGCATCACCCACATCATGGCACACGGGTGGTGGATCGGGTGGGGCACATCTGAGGGGCTCCCCTTCCTCAGCTCACTGCACTCTCCTCCCACAGATCGTTTGGCTGCTGTCGAGCCTGGGAGGACAGTTTGGGTTCTGGATGGGGGGCTCGGTGCTGTGCCTCATTGAGTTTGGGGAGATCATCATCGACTCGCTCTGGATCACCGTCATCAACGTGATCGGCTGGTGCAAGGGCCTGAAGCAGAGACGGGCACGGGCGCGGTACCCGGACGTGCCCCCGACGGTGTCGGAGCTGGTGGAGGCTCACACCAACCTGGGCTTCCAGCACGAGGCCGTGGGGGCCGAGCCCGGGGCCCCGGCGCTGCCCCCCGAGCCCGGCACGCCCCCGCCCAACTACGACTCCCTGCGCGTGCAGCCCCTGGACACGCTGAGCCCCGACACGGACCCCGAGTGACCGCAGGGTCTGCCAGGGCTGACACGGACCCCGAGTGACCGCAGGGTCCTGTCAGCCCTGACACGGACCCCGAGTGACCGCAGGGTCNCTGACACGGACCCCGAGTGACCGCAGGGTCCTGTCAGCCCTGACACGGACCCCGAGTGACCGCAGGGTCCTGTCAGCCCTGACACGGACACCAAGTGACCACAGGGTCTGCCAGGGCTGACACGGACACCGAGTGACCGCAGGGTCTGCCAGGGCTGACACGGACCCCGAGTGACCGCAGGGTCTGCCAGGGCTGACACGGACCCCGAGTGACCGCAGGGTCCTGTCAGCCCTGACACGGACACCAAGTGACCACAGGGTCCTGTCAGCCCTGACACGGACACCGAGTGACCACAGGGTCTGCCAGGGCTGACACGGAC